CCCACCACTCTGCCGCCCCCCCCCCCCCCCCAACTACCTGCCCCCACCCCCTCCCCTCCTCAGTGACTCGTAGAGCCAGTGCCAGATTCCCCTTTTTCCACTGCATGTGCAGGCCACGTGGTCAGCACCACACGCAACGGAATACATACATTGCACGACGATGAAACAAAAAAAAATGAACGGTTCAAATAAATGGACCTGACCCCGCTTGGCCCCCAGGCCAAATGCAGATAGATCTTTTGCGTGGCCAGAGTTTGATTGTTTGTTTTTGGCACGACTTGGCAAATAGCCGGAGGAGGAAAGCACAAAAGAAACGCCCTTATTGAGAGTGCCCTCGCCTCCTCCACGCTGGCTCGGCTCGGATGTGCTAGTGTAAAAGGGCGCCGCGGTAGCTTGGAGATGTTAACTACCTCGCCTGGTGTACAGGAGGTCGTGGGTTCGATCCCGACCCCGACGCCTGCCGCCGTATATGTGGAGTTTGCGGTGTCTCTCTCTCTCTCTCCCCGTGGTCGCGTGGATTTTTTTCCGGGTCTTCCGGTTTTTCCCTCCACATTTAGATTCAACGTCACGCGTTTAGAGTATTTGGCTGCTCTAAATTTCTCACATGATGACGATGAGCCACTTTGTTGAAGCTATCCTTTGTGGCCAGGTCGCTTCAGTGGACCTCACCCGGTTAAAATAAAAATGTTTAATAGTTTTTAGAAGGGAATTCATTCGTGGCCAAACCGCGGCTCACGAGGGGCATGTGGCTGAACCTGGGCAGCCAGACACTGGTGTCTCTCTATGTAGGCATGTTATGTTTAACTTCTTTCGTTGTAACTCGACTTGGAGTGGGACGAGCCCGCGGACGTGGAGAGAGAGTGAGAGAGGCCTGGGTCACTCGCTGCTGGCAGCGGAGCTCAGACGCGAGAACTCCCCTGGGCGCTCCCGCAGAGCCCGAAATCAACCAACCCGCCCCCATCCCCGACAGCGAAGTGGCCGTGTGACCACCCCACGTGACCACCACCCTACGTGACCACCATCCCACGGCTCTTGGTCACGCGGAGGCTTTGGTTTGTGGCTCGTAAAGTCAGGAGGTTAGGCCATCAATGTGATCATCACCGTCGTCGTCATTGATGGATTGATCACGATGACAGCGCGTAACCACCGTATAATAGTCGGCATCATAATCAGCAGCCATTAGCAATCCACTGCTGAATGAAGGCCGCTTTCTCCCCCCCCCACCCCCACTCCCACCACCCCCCCCCCCACTCATGATCCTGCGACGTAACAATCCAGCCCAGCGGCCGGAAACACGAGCGGACTTCATCGCTCCCATCTCCTCGGCGGACGCGCCGTGTCCCCCTCTCTCCCTCGGCTGCCGCCTCTCCCGTCATTAAGATTCTTCCCCGGGGGTCACCGTCCCCGGGGGGGGGGGGAGGGGAGGGGGGGGGGTCGAGGTTTGTTACGAAAAACTTTGCTCGGCAGGACGTGGAGCGGGCGGCGACGCACGGCTGAGCCGCGGCCGTCGCACGCTGGCGTCGGCGGGGACTCGTCCTGGGCGAGAGCGGCCAGTAAACTACGGTGTCGACGGTGTGCGAAAAGTCCATGCTTGGACTTCTTTCGCACCGTACGTAGCCAACCGTGGTAATCGGAGGTGCGGGGCATGGGGGGGGGGGGCGGGACTAGGATAAGAAACTAAACACAAAAAAGCAGTTCTAAAGAACATTATGAGACCTCCTTTGCCAGAAACAAGATATAGGAATAGGTTTTACCCTTTTTGCAAACATGATGCCTTGAATAAAGGTGTCAGTTTTTGTGCCAGTTAAAAGGGTAAAACCTATTCCTATACCCAGTTCTAAAGAAATCTGCTTCAATCGACATTTAAAAGTGGCATAGCTCCCAGTGGCTTCCTATTATCGGAAGGAAGAGCGTTCCAGACGGCCGCAGCAGAAGCAGCGCATCGGAAAGGGCCGCGTGATGCGGTGACCGCCGTCTTTGTCCGACGGCCAGCCAAACGCCGCTGCTGCTGCGAGGATGATCGGAGTTCACGTGATGACGGTTTCCGCTCCTTGACGAGATCGGCAGAGGTAGCGAGGTTCATTTTTTGGCAAGCCCTTTGCGTGCATTGGCACACGCCCATGACCTTTGACCTAGGTCACGAACACCATGACCACGTTCATACCGTGGCGGACGAGCTTACATTTTAAACTCGCTGCTCGTTTGAGCAATTATTGCAGTTGGGAGCAGTTGGGGGTTTAGTTTTGTAAGAAAATATATAATAAATATTCCAGGCAGGCGGGGAACCTGTAGCTAAATCCCTGCGTAAGGGGGAGGGGGAGGAATCCTTAAACGGTGAAATTTCCTGGGATAAAAGGGGAATGACAACGACGCGAAAGAATAGGAGAAGCAGAAGAGTGGAGAGAGGCGAGAGAAACGCAGGAAATAGTTTGAGGGTAGAGAGAGAAAACAAAATAAAGGGAGAGAGAGAGAGAGAAAAGGCAGAATGTAAAGAGACGAGAGAGAGCGGAAGAGAGCAACAGGCTTGGAAGAAGCGAGCGAAAGAGCTGGAGAGGAGAGTGAACTGAGAGAAAGGGGGGAAGAGAGCGGGAGAGAGATACACACAGAGAGAGAGCCAGAGAAAGGGAAGATAGAGAGGGGGTGAGCGAGATAACGGATAAAAAAACCTAGAGACAGGAGAGAGAGCAAGAGTGAGAGAGAGCGAGCGAGCACTCCAGAGAAAGAGGAAAGAGAGAGAGAGAAACAAGATAGAGAGGGCAGAGAGAAATCTAAGAGGAGAGAGATAGGGGGGGGGGGAGTGCAATGGAGGGGGGGAGAATGCAAGGGGGAAGGCAGGGGAGAGTGAATGCAGAGAAAGGGGTAGAGGGATGAGAGAGAGAGTAGTGAGAATGAGAAATAAAAGAGGAGAGAGAGAGGGAGGTGGGGGGGAAGTGCAATTGAGAGTGAGAATGTGAAAACTAGAGGAGAGGAGAGAGAATGCACACGGGGGGGGGGGGGGCGGTTCTGCGACAAAGCGGAGACTGAAACCCACAGCCTGGGCCCATCCCAAACTGTACAGGGCCTGGCGGCTGCCCGTGCCAACACTGCACAGAGCCACGCTGCCAGCATCCAACTCCCTCCCTGCAGCCTCTCCACCCTGCAGCCTCTCCACCAGGGCCCTCTCCACCCTCTCCACCCTGCACCCTTTGTATGTATGTCTGTTGAACTTCTTTTGCACCGTACGTAGCCGAGCGTGCTAATCGGAGGCGCGGGAGAAGAACAAACGAAACACACGAAAAAGCAGTGGTAAAAGAAATGAGTTCTCAATCTAGAAAACGACCCTGCACCCTCTCGACCCTGCACCCTGCACCCTCTCCATCCTCCACCCTCTCCATCCTCCACCCTGCACCATCTCCATCCTCCACCCTGCATCCTCTCCACCATGCACCCTCTCCATCCTCCACCCTGCACCCTCTCCATCCTCCACCCTGCACCCTCTCCACCCCGCAATCCCTGCCTCTCCGTGAGTACACCCCGCACCCTCCACCTTCCTCCTGCCCCGTTAGTCCACCTCCCCACTATATACCGTTCACCCCCACTCCCCTGTCTGGTAGTCGACCTCCTACAGGCAGGCAAAGTTCAGTCAGTCAGACAGTCCTCGAGACCAAGTTGTAATTGGGCTATGTTCGGTTTAAAAATTATATGCCCAAGCCGACTTGCGCTGTGGCGAATTGTATTACCGAACGCCGATTTACTTTTGGTGAAACATTTTCACTGTCCGATGTACGACCGGGCGTCGTCTCTGCTCCGATCTCTACTTTCTTCACCGTCAAAAGTACTTCATTTGATTTGCCTTCGTGCATTTCGGTGACCCCAGGTGACTCTTTCCGCGGTGGCTAGGAGATGTTGACTACCTCGCCTGGTATACAGGAGGTCGTGGGTTCGATCCCAGACCCTGTCGCGTGGCGTTTTCTCCAGGTCTTTCGGTTTTGTCCGTCCACGTTTAGAATCGACGTCGCGTATTTGGCCGCGCGTCCTGATGACGGCCGCTTGTGTTGCGGTCGAAACGTCGTAGTTTTTTGTTATTTTCTTTGAACCTATCCTCGTGACTTTACCGAAAGACCCAAAGAATATGAATCCCTGCCGTCACGAAAGCTTGAAGTCAAGATTTGCACTGTAACATGATAACAAATGTGATGTTAATATCTTCCAAGAGTCTCCCCACGTGCTCGCCATCGTTGTCAACACGTGGCCTGGAATCTCCTCTAGGTGATCCCCAGAGCCCCGGGAGGCACAAACATTTCTTGTGGCGTTGTTGCAAATTCTCACAAGTGTTCACATTTTTTTTAAGCACCCTGTACATTTTGATTTAAAGCTTTCGTGACTGCAGGAATTCATATTCTTGGTTCTTTCGGTAAAGTCACGTAGAAGGGAAACAATAAAATAAAAATCAAAATATATAAAAATTGTTGTATATATTTTTATTATTTTATTGTTTCACCCTGTACATGTAATGTGTTGCACACGAGCAACTCGAGTGGCCAAGTGGCGCCACAGGCTCGCCAGTGGCCGTGCCAGGGCACTGATCCGGCACGGCCTGAGGCCCCTCTCTCTCTCTCTCCAAGGGACAGCGTTTAGAACGCGGGATGTAATCGTGTGTGCCGCGTCATCCCTATCCGTTGTACGATTTGAGTAAACGCGTCTCGCGCTGCGTGGCGGGCTCTGGAAAATGGTAGAGCTGATAAACAGAACTGGCTACACCCCCCCCCCCCCCCCACTGAATTATTAGGTCAAGGGTTCAGAATGTATTCGTAATTTTGACCTCTTAAACTTCCGAACGACTCCTTGGGCTGTGACGCGACCCAGCGGTAGCGCCACGGTGGCTAGGAGATGTTAACTGCCTCGCCAGGTACGCAGGAGGTCGTGGGTTCTATGCATAGCCCGACGCCTGCCTGCTGTATATTTGGAGTTTGCGTGGATTTTTTTTTCTGCGTTATGCCGCTTCGTTGAGCCATCGTTTGTGGCCGGGTCGCTTCTGACAAAAGAGCTACGTAGCTCAGTGGGTCTTGCTTGGCAAAACAAAAAAATACAAAACGCGTCGCTTAACGCCCGCGTAGCTCTGGTGCCGAGGCACACTCTGGCTGACGACGAGGGGGGGACGGCCCGAGGGGAGCGACACACGAGCGCGCTGGCTCGCGTCCGTGCAATAGGTGGACAATTTTGCGCACGCGTCTCTCCGTGGTTCTCTGTTTCTTCCACCCCGGGCGAAGCCGAGCTCTCGATACGTTCGACCGCCGGCCTAAAACTAAAAAAAAATCCCAATGCAGCGGGGAGACCCCCCGCGAGGGTAGGGCCCCTCCTGAAGCAAAAACAAAAAAAAGGTCTTGAGACTCAATGGAGGCTTTTCTGGATGCATGGATTGGCATCATCATAATTGTTATTTTTGCAGGTCGTTTGAATGTGTTCCACGACACTCGACTAGGATTTCGAATTATACGAAGGAGACTGTTGCTTTGATGCTCGCACTGCTAGCCACTCTAGCAGCATGGATTGGCATTATCATAACGAGACAGTTAACATATGCAGCTCAACAAGTTCGTTCATAACACTGCCTTAAAAATATATATATAAACAGGCATGAGACACGAGGTGTTGATGACGATGAACGAATTTCCAACTAAATATCCTTTGCGATCATGAATATCCTACATGAACCACCACCATCATTATCAACATCATCATCAGCATCAACTTTATTATTATTATCAGCAGCCAAGGTCAAAGCACTGCTGTACGAAGTCCTCTACCCCCACCAAGCCGCTGCCACCACCAACGCTTGCGATGCTGCGGTGTGCAACAATCCGCCCAGGCGCACGGACTGATGATCCGCGCGGGCCAATTCCATCGCTCCCGTCTCCCACGACGGGAGTCTTCTCCGGCGCGTTCCATCCCTCGGCTGCCACTCCGCGAGCAGACTCGACCGTGGGCCACTGTCCCCCTCCTGGCCGCGACGCTTCCGCCCCCCTCTGCCCACGAGCCCCGCGCGCGCTTTTCTCGACGGTGCAGGATCGCAGCGGCGACGGCGCTGTGCGTTCTCTCGTCCGGGCGCTCCTCTCCTTTGCGCCCCCCCTTCTCGTTGACGAGCATCAACCGCCCTCACGCGAACTCCGGTCTTCGTCGCCATCGAAACAACGGCGGCGGCCATCCGCATCGCGCGGCGCTTTCGGATGGCGCTTCTGCGGCCGTCTGGAACTCGGCCCTCCCTTCCGATATTTAGTAAGCCACTGGAGCGATGCACTTCTAAATGAGCTCGATTGAAAAGGAATTTCTCTTGAAACTGCTTTTTTTGCGTTTGGTTTGTTGTGCTACGTACGGCGCGAAAGAAGCTCAACGCACGGTACATACGTCCCTCGATGTAATTCCAAGCGAGCGCCTCTCCACGCTTCCTTGCGTACTTTCATTTGACCGCACGACAGCCTAATCAATCGCTCTTGCAAGGTCAGACGTGGATCATTCGTGTTGGTGTGAAACGCAGATGAGCATCATTGTGGTAAGTGTTGTTGTTGTTGTTGTTGTCTTTGTTGTTGTCTTTGTTATTAATGTCTTGGCTCCCACGGCTTGTGCAGTTATCGATCAACGGAATGAACGGGAACAGATCCACACGGCGTCACGTTGAAGCGCATGCACGGCCTCGGTTGTCAATCCACTGCTGCATGAGGGCCTCCTCGCGCGAGTCGTGATGGTAAATTTGACCATACTTCACCACGCTGGTTTGGCGCGGGCGTGTGAAGGTGGGGGGGGGGGGGGGGGCACAGACCACCGTACGACAATGGATTGTTCCGCACGCACTGAAGCTCCGTAGCTTATAGCACCTTTGTTACATTTATAGTGCCGTATAATTGTTGTGTGCGTGTGAATATGCACAAGCGTCGTGGTGACGTCCCCGCCACTTAGTGGCGAATGGCGGTTGTTGTTGTTGTTGTTGTGTGGGAAGTGCTGGCGCACCGGTTATTCCCGGTGACGATGACCTGAATACCGGTCCTGGGCCTCTCCCCAGGGTCGACTCAGCCTGAGTGTAAACAACGCCACTAGGTAGACAAAGGCGGCGGCCGGGCGTGGTGCTGGTCACCCCTCTCCCGCCCCCTCTTCGTGTGCCGCGCCGGCTTCTATCGGTGCTGCTCGCCAACAGCACTTGCCCCAAAACTCCGTTAAGGCTTCTCGGGGTATCTTTGCCTTTAGTTTGTTCACCTGTGTGTGCGTGTGTTTGTATTTGGCAACAACAATTCGGTATTGGAATTTGGCAGCTCTCTAACTTCACAGTTTAATACCTGCATACATTAAACGTTGACCTACACATTAACCAACAACCTCCTCGACTTTTTCCCGCAACCCCCACGCTTTACTCTTTGGAAAACAAAAAAAAAAAGCTACCTCGTCTCATTGTGCCTACTCACATTATTGCGGGTTCAGACCGACGAGTGTTTTACATGGGTTAGAAAACGTAAAGAAATGTGAAATATAAAATAATAATAATAATCAATCGGGACAAACAATCAACGGGAGAGGCATTCAATCTCACCGCATCACTTCCAGAGTCGCCGATACGCTGGAGTAGGCGCATGACTCAGTCGTCGGACAGACAGGAGGACCTACGCTCATTTGTAATTGTGCTATGGTCAGTATAGAAACAATATGCCCGAGCCGACTTGCAACTACAGGGAATTTACGGCCCAATGTCGACTTACAGCTCATGCAATATTTTCGATTTTCCGATTTGACGCGGGTTGTTTAGTGCTCCGATTTCCACTTTCTTCTGTCGCTCGACTTCATTTAATTTGTTTCACTTTTGTCCATTTCGGTGACCCAGCTGAGACTCTTGCCAATGAGACTCCTCCGTCCTGGTGCCTTGGGCGCTCGTCCTGGTCACCACAGCCAGGGCGAGAGCGACATTGGACGTGGTGGCCCGGGATGCTGACATATTTTCTGCTTCGATGATCCAGACAAGCGTATCAGAAGTAGTTACACTCTGACAATAATTAGTTCCCATCTCTTTGTTCGTCAACGGTGGGTTGGATGAAGGCCGCCTGCCTGCCAATGCGGTGTTGGGTCATTGGTGATGCATGTTTGTATGTGCGTATGTCGAGCTTATTTCGCACGCCGTAGGAAGGTGCGTTTGACTGTACTTCACCGCACTGGTCCGTGCGGGTTGGTGATGGTGGGCAGGGGGGGGGGGGGGCGGAGACTCAGGACCGGTTCTGCAATCGCTCACCAGTGATGTTATCTGTGGCCTGGAATCAGACTGGGGTCACCGGGTGCACCGTGGCGAGGTCAATCTTCCCGGCGTGGCAGTTGAGTCAATGGGGAAAGTTTAGGAAATCCTCCACGCCACCACCTGCGTGCATCCAGCAGTATAATCAGATTACACCGCAGTTAGTCCGGTGAGAAGCTGCATTTGGCAGGGGTTGAGCGTGGGCGTTCCCACCTCTTCAAATCGACCCCCGTGCCCCTACTTTGGACATCGGTGAAAAAATTAACTTCATAGCTCATCGGAATTCCTCCTCCAGTCAAAATAAATAATGAGAATCTGGAAGAGTACGGCCAAAACACCCTCTTGCGAGGCAAGACGGACTCATGCACGGATGGGTATGGTGGTCAGCAACACAGACTTTGACATTGACAGGTTGGCAAGTGTACGGATAGATCGAGAGATAGACAAAAAAAACGTAAATAGATGGATGGCCTTTACAATCAGGTGAGAGTCCACTTGGGACGGGGGGGGGGGGTCTCTTTTGCTCAGGAGGGCCGGGGTTAAATAGGTACGGCAAAACAGCACACACTGACGTAGAGACCCACGAACAAACCACAGAGACCCATTGACTTGCACAGAGAGCCGTAGACTTAACATAGAAACCCAGAGACTTGAAATAGAGACCCCTAAACTTATCATATATATACATAGACTTAACATAGAAACCCATAGACTTGCACAGAGAAGCCATAGACTTTACAAAGAAACCCATAGACTTGAAATAGAGACCCATGAACTCAACATAGAGACCCATAGACTTGAAATAGAGGTCCATGCACATATATAGATACGAAACACATTTGTCAATAACACTGCCCCAAAATTATTTATATATGCATAATATATATAATAGGCAACAATTTGGTAATTATTCACAGTGCATGAGCTGAAGCGCCTACTATTATATATTATTTTCCTCTTCGGGCGGTCATGATGTAGAGACCCTTAGACTTACATAGAGACCCTACGGACTTGTATCGAGACCCGTAGACTCACATTGAGATCCACTGACTTATGCTGAGACCCAGAGATGTACGAAGAAACCCATGAACTTACAGCAAACACATTCCAATGTAAACACACACACAAAGCCCAAAGCAGCAATTTTAAAAGTTGCGACGTTTAAGAGCCAGTTTTAAATAACACAATCTTCACGATGTTAAACAATACACGGGTATTTTTCCCCCTCCTTTGGTTGCCAAAGAAAGAACACGCCCGAGAGGACGTCCACCGCGGAGACGGAGCAATGAATTCAGCTCGTGAGCCAGGAGCTCGATGGCTTGCCGAATCACAGGGCTACGAGCGATGGCAATGACTTGCATTCAGCAGCAGATAGATGACGTCCCACGGCGACACTGGTGATCAGGGTTGTCGGCTTAGCGATTGAAACCGAACACATTAAGGGCTCTCATCCAGCAGTGGATTGACACTCTGCCACGATGAGCCCGAGGTTAGGACCCACAAGGCCACAGTAAGCCCAAGGCCAGGACCCACAAGGCAATGGCCAGGCCAATCCTGGGACCCACAAGACCACAATAAGCCCAAGGCCAGGACCCACAAGGCCACGGTGAGGCCAAGGCCGGGACCCAGAAGGCCACGGTGAGGCCAAGGCCGGGACCAACAAGGCCACGGTAAGGCCAAGGCCGGGACCCACAAGGCCAAAGTGAGCCCAAGGCCGGGACCCACAAGGCCACGGTAAGGCCAAGGCTGGGACCTACAAGGCCACGGTGAGGCCAAGGCCAGGACCCACAAGGCCACGGTGAGGCCAAGGAGGCCGGGACCCACAAGGCCACAGGGGGGGGGGGCAAGGCCGCGGGGGGGGGGGGCAAGGCCGCGACCCACAAGGCCACGGTGAGGCCAAGGCCGGGACCCACAAGGCCACAGTGAGGCCAAGGCTGGGACCCACAAGGCCACGGTGAGGCCAAGGCTGAAAGTGTCTTATGCCAAGGCCGCTGTCAATGCCGGTCATGACGTGTGACATCATCACCTTGGTCGACAAGGCTTATCCACTAAGTGATGGCTTTAATCGCCAAATTCTGGGAATCCCAGTGATCAATGTGCCCGGTTTTGGCTCGGGTTATCTCCTAACAGAAACACGACTTTGCACTAAACTTGCAGGCGGTATTGAATCATCCATCCGAGAGTTTATCGTGATCCACATGCCACACCCCCCCCCAAACCCCTCCTCGCTACTGACAAGATGGACGTACGGACGGAACTCACGCATTTAACGCTTTCAGCCGCGGTTGGCAAGTGACCAGTCAGAAACACCCAGGGCCCTCCAAGCACTCACACCGAGGGCACCAAAGGCCAAAGTTCAAGCACGAGAGTTGAAGAAATTGTCCTCAGGAGCCCTCGCGGCCCAGGTCCTGTTCGAGGAAGTGACTCAATTTAGCCACTATTTAAAGTTTTATATATATATTTTTAACACTTTGAGCGGTTTATTCGGTTGTTTTCTTAAGAATAAAAATAAAATGAAATGTGTGAGCTGCCTGTGTAAATGTATGCGTTGAACGTGTGTGTGTGTGTGTGTTGACCACGTGTGTGTGTTGACCACATGTATGTGTGTTGACCACGTGTGTGTGTTGACCACGTGTGTGTGTTGACCACGTGTGTGTGTGTTGACCACGTGTGTGTGTTGACCACGTGCGTGTGTGTGGGGAGAAGCGGTTGCGGAGTGGTTAGCGCCCTGCGCTGGGAACCCGGCGACCTGAGTTCGATTCCCGCTCATGGCCAACACCAGTGACGAGAACCAGTCCTAGGCTACCCCTAGGTCGACTCGGCCTTCGTGTAACATCAGCACTGGGAAGACAAAGGCGGCCCGAGGGTTGTAAGGGGGATCTTTGTATTTGTCTGGACCAAGGGTGTAAATGGTGTGGGTGTCTCTTAGCCATATGTTTCTATGCATGTTGAACTTCTTTCGCACCGTACGTAGCCAACCGCGCTGATTGGAGGTGCGGGGGAAGGACAACAAACTAAACACAAAAAGCAGTTCTAAAAGAAATGAGTTTTCAATCGAGATTTACAAGTGGCATAGCCATCAGTGGCGTCCTAATGTGGTAAGAAAGAGCCGTTCCAGACGGCCGCAGAAGCGCATCTGAAGGGGCGCGACGCAGTGACCGTCTTTGTCTGACGGTCAGCCAAAACAATACGTGGCTGTGGCCCTGCCGCCAACCCCCAATCCCCACGCGCTCCCTCATCGTGACTCGCCGCTCGGACTCGGCGTGCGAGCGTGAGGCTCGCACCTGTGGGAAGGACCCCTCGGGGTGCGAGTGTGAGGCTCGCACCTGTGGGAAGGACCCCTCGGGGTGCGAGCGTGAGGCTCACACCTGTGGGAAGGACCCCTCGGGGTGCGAGCGTGAGGCTCACACCTGTGGGAAGGACCCCTCGGGGTGCGAGCGTGAGGCTCACACCTGTGGGAAGGACCCCTCGGGGTGCGAGTGTGAGGCTCGCACCTGTGGGAAGGACCCCTCGGTGTGCGAGCGTGAGGCTCGCACCTGTGGGAAGGACCCCTCGGGGTGCGAGTGTGAGGCTCACACCTGTGGGAAGGACCCTTGATGTCCATCCTGCAAGGGTCCGTCCGACTCGACCGCACGACGCTGCTCTCCCCGTCTGTGCAGAGGGCTCCAGTTTTCCGATCTGTGCCTAACTGCAAAGTGTGAAAGGAAACAAAACAACGTCACAATGATCATCTCACGTGTACGCCCGCGCGCACGCACACACACACACACACGCATAATATGATATGGATGTGGGCTAAATCGGCATCATCACTGCGCTGTGGGCCAAAGATGTGCAAAATACATACAAATTGCTGGAATAACGTAACGTAATACAGACATTAGAAATTACCAATTCGAAACTCGCTTGTGCAACATCTGCAACCGCTCCAGCTGAGGGAGAGCGCTGTACGTGAAACGACAGGGCGCACCACTGAACCGTCCGCGAAACGTATTTCGGCGTTGGGCCGCGTGCGACATTCACGGTCTAGGCCGCACGCCGTTTCGAGTTTGCTCGACGTCCAACGTCCGCGCGCACGCGTGAGTCGTCCCCACGCGTTCGCTGCGCGAGGGCGAGTCGGGGACTGCCCCAGCAAAGGGCACTATCCGGGTGAAATATATTCATTAAAAACGTTTAGTTTTTTATTGTTTTACGCTTTAGATGACCAACTACTTCACTCGGAGGTGCCTGATTTATACGTCCACTGCAAATTGCAAATGTGATGAGATTCAATAGTTGAATTGCGGGGTCGTGTGGACACTGCCCATCTCAAAACAGGAGACTAAAGTACAGCAGTTCCTCGGTTAACGTGTTTAATCCGTTCCACGGAAAACGACTGTGAGGCGAAATAACTGTTCATCGAATTCACTTACAGTGAGGGAAAAAAGTATTTGATCCCCTGCTGATTTTGTACGTTTGCCCACTGATAAAAAAAATGATCAGTCTAGAATTTTAATGGTAGGTTTATTTGAACAGTGAGAGACAGAATAACAACAAGAAAATCCAGAAAAACACGTCAAAAATGTTATAAATTGATTTGCATTTTAATGAGGGAAATAAGTATTTGAAACCTCTGCAAAACATGACTTAGTACTTGGTGGCAAAACCTGTGTTGGCAATCACAGAGGTCAGACGTTTCTTGTAGTTGGCCACCAGGTTTGCACACATCTCAGGAGGGATTTTGTCCCACTCCTCTTTGCAGATCTTCTCCAAGTCATTAAGGTTTCGAGGCTGACGTTTGGCAACTCGAACCTTCAGCTCCCTCCACAGATTTTCTATGGGATTAAGGTCTGGAGACTGGCTAGTCCACTCCAGGACCTTAATGTGCTAAAATCTTCTTGAGCCACTCCTTTGTTGCCTTGGCCGTGTTTTGGGCCATTGTCATGCTGGAATACCCATCCACGACCCATTTTCAATGCCCTGGCTGAGGGAAGGAGGTTCTCACCCAAGATTTGACGGTACATGGCCCCGTCCATCGTCTCTTTGATGTGGTGAAGTTGTCCTGTCCCCTTAGCAGAAAAACACCCCCAAAGCATGATCTTTCCACCTCCATGTTTGATGGTGGGGATGGTGTTCTTGGGGTCATAGGCAGCATTCCTCCTCCTCCAAACACGGCGAGTTGAGTTGATGCCAAAGAGTTCCATTTTGGTCTCATCTGACCACAACACTTTCACCCAGTTGTCCTCTGAATCATTCAGATGTTCATTGGCAAACTTCAGACAGGCATGTATATGTGCTTTCTTGAGCAGGGGGACCTTGCGGGCGCTGCAGGATTTCAGTTCTTCACGGCGTAGTGTGTTACCAATTGTTTTCTTGGTGACTATGGTCCCAGCTACCTTGAGATCATTGACAAGATCCTCCCGTGTAGTTCTGGGCTGATTCCTCACCGTTCTCATGATCATTGCAACTCCACGAGGTGAGATCTTGCATGGAGCCCTAGGCCGAGGGATATTGACAGTTCTTTTGTGTTTCTTCCATTTGCGAATAATCGCACCAACTGTTGTCACCTTCTCACCAAGCTGCTTGACAATGGTCTTGTAGCCCATTCCAGCCTTGTGTAGGTCTACAATCTTGTCCCTGACATCCTTGGAGAGCTCTTTGGTCTTGGCCATGGTGGAGAGTTTGGAATATGATTGATCGATTGCTTCTCAGCTCATTACCTGTATAAAAGACACCTGGGAGCCAGAAATCTTTCTGATTGAGAGGGGGTCAACTACTTATTTCCCTCATTAAAATGGAAATCAATTTATAACATTTTTGACATGCGTTTTTCTGGATTTTTTTGTTGTTATTCTGTCTCTCACTGTTCAAATAAACCTACCATTAATATTATAGACTGATCATTTCTTCGTCAGTGGGCAAAAACTTACAAAATCAGCAGGGGATCAAATACTTTTTTCCCTCACTGTATAAGTTGAAAAATAAGTTTAAAAAAATCACCGAGTCTGCAAGAGGGCTGTTTCCACTGCCAAAACGGAAAGCGTATAATGTAAACAAAACCAGCAGCGGTCTAAACGCTCATAATTGGGCGTCGCTGATTGGCTGAGGGCACGGCTCAGCCAAAGTTACGAGCCCTCGGATTGGCCTAAATTGGCGCCCGCATGCACAACGTCAACGTACCGTGAGTGAAAAATGTGAACGTAAGTCGAAACCATGGGATCCTATGGGAGGCGAAACGTCAAACGAAAAGCCGTGAACCGATGTCACTGTTAACCGAGGGACTACTGCACTAGTATTCTTGGTTCTTTCGGTAAAGTCACGCAGAAAGAAAATAAGAATAAAATTGAAAATAAATAAAAAATAAAAATCACAAAACTCACGACGTTTCGATCGGAACACAAGCGGTCTTCAAAAACGTTTAGTTTTTTTGTTGTTGATGAAGACCACTTGTGTTGCGATCGAAACGTCATGGGGTTTTTTGCTTTTATTTCTCATTTTTATTTTTATTTTCAATCTTCGTGACTTTACCGAAAGAACCAAGAATATGAATTTCTGCAGTCACGAAAGTTTTAAGTCAAATATTTTTTTTACTGCGCTATTACTTATTATTACACTTGTTTTACCCAGGGAGGTCCTGCCGAGTTTTCGCAGGAGTGGGGGGGCGATAATTAGGTACGTCTGATCCCAATTGAGTACGCTACTTTGCACGTTGTGCTTTGTCAAATTTTGAAACCACGACCCTGGGGTGAAGTAGCCGACTTTTACAAACGATGTTAAGAGATCTTTAACACCCACTGGGCACCAGACGGCATGCATTATCACGTTCATTTTTTCATTACATGCCGCAGGAATAACCAGGGCGGGCCGTTGGATTAAAACCGTCAACCTAAACTAAGCAATTTTTTTTTCTATTAGGTAAGGCCGCACTGAGCTACGTAGCTCTTTTTCAGAAGTGGCCTAGCCACAAACGATAGCTCAACGAAGTGGCTTATCACGTGGACATTTATAGCAGTGCAGCCAAATACCATAAATGCGTGTTGATTCTAAACGTGGAGGGAATAACCAGAGGACCTGGAGAAAAATCCACGTGACAACAGGGAGAGACATACGCAAACTCCAAATATGCAGCAGGCGTCAGGGTCGGGATCGCACCCACGACCCCCTGTATACCAGGCGAGGTAGTTAACATCTCCTAGCCACCGTGATGATGATAGAGAGATACGCAAAACTCCAAATATACAACAGGCGTCAGGTTCTGGATCGCACCCACGACCGCCTGTATACCAGGCGAGGCAGTTAACATTTCCTAGCCACCGTGATGATGATAGAGAGACACGCAAACACCAAATATGCAGCAGGCGTCAGGGTCGGGATCGCACCCACGACCTCCTGTATACCAAGCGAGGCAGTTAACATTTCCTAGCCACCGTGGCGCTACCGCTGGGTCGCGTCACAGCCCAAGGAGTCGTTCGGAAGTTTAAGAGGTCAAAATTACGAATACATTCTGAACCCTTGACCTAATAATTTAGTGGGGGGGGGGGGGGGGGGGGGGGGGGGTGTGTGTAGCAGTTCTGTTTATCAGCTCTACCATTTTCCAGAGCCCGCCACGCAGCGCGAGACGCGTTTACTCAAATCGTACAACGGATAGGGATGACGCGGCACACACGATTACATCCCGCGTTCTAAACGCTGTCCCTTGGAGAGAGAGAGAGGGGCCTCAGGCCGTGCCGGATCAGTGCCCTGGCACGGCCACTGGCAAGCCTGTGGCGCCACTCGGCCACTCGAGTTGCTCGTGTGCAACACATTACATGTACAGAGTGAAACAATAAAATAATAAAAATATAATTTAAAAAAATATATTTTTATATATTTTTTATTTTATTGTTTCCCTTCTACGTGACTTTACCGAAATAAATGTCGATTTGAAGCTTTCGTGACTGCAAGGATTCATCTTCTTTGGTTCTTTCGGTAAAGTCACGTAGAATGAGAATAAAATAATAAAACAACAATAAAATTCTCACGACGTTTCGGCCACAACGCAAGCGGCCGTCTTCGAATGATCTTAAGGTTGTGTGAAATTTTGTTATTTTATTCTCATTCTACGTGACTTTACCGAAAGAACCAAAGAAGATGAATCCTTGCAGTCACGAAAGCTTCAAATCGAAATTTAACCGCCTCTACGGGGAGGGATTTCACACAACCTTAAGATCATTCGAAGACGGCCGCTTGCGTTGTGGCCGAAACGTCGTGAGAATTTTATTGTGTTATTTTATTATTTTATTCTCATTCTACGTGACTTTACCGAAAGAACCAAAGAAGATTTACCGAAAGAACCAAGAATATGAATTCCTGCAGTCACGAAAGCTTTAAATCAAAATGTACAGGGTGCTTAAAAAAAATGTGAACACTTGTGAGAATTTGCAACAACGCCACAAGAAATGTTTGTGCCTCCCGGGGCTCTGGGGATCACCTAGAGGAGATTCCAGGCCACGCGCTGACAATGATGGCGAGCACGTGGGGAGACTCTTGGAAGATATTAACATCACATTTGTTATCATGTTACAGCGTAAATCTTGACTTCAAGCTTTCGTGACGGCAGGGATTCATATTCTTTGGGTCTTTCGGTAAAGTCACGAGGATAGATTCAAAGAAAATAACAAAAAACTATGACGTTTCCACCGCAACACAAGCGGCCGTCATCAGGACGAG